TTCCCCGAACTCAAAAAGCGCAAATTTATAATCATTTAGTTGTAAAACTCTTGGAAACTGGAGTTTCTTCACTTTTGGGTCAACATTTCTAAACAGAAAAACCGCGTTTTTCCTAACGTTTTCTGTAAAATACTGGCAAACTGAATCTTTCATGCAAAAAAGATGGATTTTAGAAGAAAACTCGTCGACTTTCTTTGGACTCAGTTCTGTTGCCGGGAAAATCTAGATGACTTTTTTTACTTGCTTGAACAAAGTGGTAAAACGTTGCTCAGAAAAGTGTCAATAACCCTTTTTTAGAGGCGAAAATTCCAGTCTCGAGTCCCGCAAAGCTTTACAAATGAATTATAACTCATAAACCGACGGGTTATAACCCGCTAGCTCAGAGAGCGGCAACAACTCAATAGCGCAACTCAACACAGTGTTACCCAGGCCTACTTGCAAGCCTTTATTAATGGAAAACAATTAGAATGCCAGAGGCTCTTAGCAGTTGGAACCGTGCTTGAGATGTGCAAATATTCTGTTTAATGAACTTTAACTTGGGGCGACGCAAAGACATCATCATGTTCCACTAAAGTGCTACGCAGACAATGCATTCGCGCTAGAATGCAGCTACTTGCGCGAACTTTACATTCCGTTTGCGTGGATTTGCCAGAAACATGCATGCCACTCATTGCACAATTACGCGATTTTCTATCTAATAACCAGGAAACTTGTAGGTTTATTCTGCTTCAGGCACCTCCACAGTAAAAGTAGATTCAGGCTGATTTTTTTTAGTGCGAGATTCATCGGCGAAATCAGTCCAGGGGATCCTGCGGGGCAGCATTGCTCAATTTGGGCACTTTGAGGAATGCCTCACTGCCAAAGCTCCATTCCCTACTCAATTTTGTATGGCAACCGTATCGGCAAACGTGCCAGAGCCCAACAATCCACGGGATCCCAAATCGCTGATTTATGGCTTAAACGACACTGTCATCAGCAAAATTTACGTAAGTATAAAGCTGGAAAATACGCGTTTGGAACCGTGCATGGTACACTGACATTGAAAGTAAAAGTTATATAACTGACCTACATGGGGAACCGTAACCGATTGCACAACCGCTGTTGTATGGGTTTATTCACTCGTCCATTAATGCGCCCATTCCGAAGAGAAGTAACGGAGCCACTCGGCAATCACTTCGACTTTGGCGCAGCATCAAATTGCTCTCAACAGTTTTTCCAAAATTTACAGGATAAGAAAGATCCGGCCCAACAGCCGGAAAATGCGGTTTTGCTCGGCTGGTGCATACCAGCCTCATGCAAACCTTCCGATCTACAAGAATACCTAAACGAGTATCTATCGAATGCAGTTACAGCCCTGACAAAAGAGAATGTCACTTACTCATCGCAAATTATCGAGCAAAGTTGCCAAACAGATCTAAATCATAGGAATTGGGACCATCTGGATATATCTTTCCTGTATGTATTAGTCCGAAGTCAATAACCATAGCCATCAGAAGATGCTAACGTTTCGCTAGCATATGCAGGAAAGTCTTCACTTCGGGCGACCCAATATAGCCTCTGAAGATGCTAGCTACTCGTGCTATCGAAACGTTAAATTAGGACTAAATTCCTTCAGACAGCGGCCTAATAAATGTGTCCCCCGAAGCGAATACTCTTTCGAACCAGCGAAAACCGGCAATTTTTCAACTTTCAAAAATGTGCTCCATCGAGCATATAGCAATAATCAATACTATTAAAATTCTTAGGCTTGTAACGGGCATAATAGTGCTTTTGGTGATTGCTTCCACCATCTGCGACATGATGTGGACCAATGAAGAAAAGCTGTTTGGTGG